ATTTACTTGCTGTTGTATTGGTCACTACAACAGACCACTAGTTGTGATCAATAATATACATTTGTTTTGTTATTGGGAAGATCACACAGATTTACTTGCTGTTGTATTGGTCACTACAACAGACCACTAGTTGTGATCAATAATATACATTTGTTTTGTTATTGGGAAGATCAGACAGATTTACTTGCTGTTGTATTGGTGACTACAACAGACCACTAGTTGTATTTAAATTTTCTTTACTAGATTGAAATAATTACTTGTTTCCTTTCCACACTTCAATTGTAATTAGTTTTTTTTATACTGTAACATCTATGTACGAAGGTATTATTTTTCGGTAATTACCGTTATTTTGGCAAATTATATAGTTTCATTAAAAGACCTAGGAAGAAATATATTTCAGAAATGTCAGGTCTTTAAAAACGACAAATATGCAAACTTTATTTTTCACAAATTAAAGATGTATCTTACCTAAATTTTGTGTTTTAAACAAAACGATTCAAGTTTCTTTACTGAATTTCCGACAGTTTGATAATTTCACTTCTTACAGATCCTCTTGTCTACTTGATCCTTGACCCTGAAGGATTAAAAAAACTTTAGTCACAAAATACGTTTATGTACAATCTCTGAATGTAAAGATAAAAAAAATATAACTACTTTACCTATTAACTGCTATGGATACAACTAAAACTCAAATATACCCACGTGATCTTGTGTTGTTGTAAACTCCAAATGGTAGAAAAATAAATTTAATCTATATAAATCTAAAATGTGCAATTTAAATTAACTTTTTATTTAAATATTATAGACTAACTTACTATGTCATTATACCAATTTCTGTTAATAACATGGATATCATTTGTCTATAGACAATTATAGATTGTTAAACTGGTTTAAAATGTACTAATACAGCATAATATTTAAATAAGAAATCGATTGATTAGATATGGTACTATATTGTAAACTTCACACTCAAACATTGCTAGTTTAGTGTACAAAGAAAGTTAACACCTGTCTGTAGTGGAGGGATCCAGCCTACTTTCATAACTTGTACATGGTGCTATTCAACATCATGTTATGTGTTTATCCAGTAGTAAGATATTGTGTTAACATGCATTACTGATTTTTGTAATGGTCAGTATTGGACAAAAAAGTAAGTAATATAAAAAAAAATACTCTCAAAATAAACAAACCCTTTTTAGACATACATTTAAGAGTTTTTGGAAGTTATGAAAGTACTTTATTATTGTTGTTTGTGACCACTAGATTGCACCGTGACTTGTGAGATTATTAATAATTTAAATATATTGAGTATAATGTTTGTAAAAACTGATCTGAGTGTATATACAAGAGGTTTGTACTGTTGACTAATAGCTTGTAAATTCACAACTGTAGTCAACATTACTTTTGGAACACCAAGCTGTGCATGTTCACTTATGTAAACTATATATATATTTATTTAATTTTTCTCTCCAGGTAGGTAAGTGGACAATAAGAGTATTACATGTTACTATAATGGACATAGCTTGTATACATGTATCTAACTATGTATATAACTGAAATAAATACAATGTGGTGCCATCTATTAAAATCCATAAAAAGAACAAATGTTGCACATTGGGTATTCAAGATTCAGACATTTGTAGAAATAACTACAGTATATGCAAAAACATTCTTTAACACAATTTTAAATAAAAGTCCTCTTCTCACAACAAGAACATGACTCACTAGGACTGTATTTAAAAAAAAAAATTGCCACAATCTGAACATTATTTTACATGCATAATACTTCCTAGAAAAATCATTTTAGAAAATGTTACTTTTTTTTACTCTTCTTTTGTCATTGAGCTATGATTACTAGTTAATAGCACTCAGCTTTTTAAACTTTATTTGTGAATCTATAAAAAAAAAAAAGGTATTTCCTCTATGCTGAACTAATAGTTTTGTGTGGGTGTTGGTATGGACAAATTTTTAATCCTTTTATCTGTTAAAGATCAGTTAGTTTAAAATATAATTTACAAGAACCTAAGTTGTGTGTGATATATAGACATTCACTTTGAACTGTGTATTTATTTTCAGTATTATTTAAACATTGTGTTATTTACTATAACATGTGGTCTACTTTCGTTTATTTGTAATTGGCACCATTTACTATAAATAACACTTTTAAACTAATAAAGTATAAAATACTATTATATAACAAACGTGTACAGATATAAATTTTAACAAGAAACTGTTTTAGTGAATCATTAAAATGGTGATGATGATAGTGCACATGTAGACTGCATGTTATAGTGTAAATATCTTTGTAGACCACACCCTATAGTGGCACCAACATTGTTTTATCTTATTCATGAGTTTAAATGTAAAATTGTTTTTAAATATCCTAACTAAACTAGAAGTTAAGTATAGCAACACTAAACATTACTTTTAGTTTTATCATAGCTAGGTTTTAAAGTAAAGACAGATGTACATCGGTGAATTTATATATATATTAAATTAACTCAAATACTCTCAATACATTTCATTAGTAACAATTAATTTAAACAAATTTTAATTTCTTTTAATCTGAATAGATGGATTCTTTGTTAGTTTAATTATCACTGATTCAAACTGCTAACAATTCTTCATTATTGAACTTTACAAATTCTAAAATGTCTAACAGTATATTCTTATATTAGAACATATTTTGAGCTATATATTTTATATGATGTACCCATAGTCTGCTATTTGACTAAAACTATGTTACATATATTTGGAAGTGCATACAATCTTGGAGTAATAATTCTTCTCTGTATCTGTTAAAGTTAAACAATTTGTTTTTATGAATTCCTGATACTTATTTGTAGGGTTGTATATTTGTATTATTAATTACGTATTAATACTCTCACTCCTTTAACATGGTCACTTTTAAATAAAAAAAAAACACACATTAAATAGTACTATCATGTATTGATTGTTTATATTTATTGATGTTTTGTATAGGATGAGTTTATGAACGTGTATAGTCCTAATTTTCTCCAAAAAAACATAGTAATGGGAAAACCAATCAAACTAGTCGTACATTTTTGAAAATTACCAATCCAAACAAGTATTTGTTTCTAAATCAGTACAAATATTAAAGTAATTTGAGTGTTTGTTGATAGGTTTCAATTAGTTTTAACAATGTACTCTTGTTGTACTTTGAAATAGTTTGTTTTCATACCTAATTTAAATTCATTGATAATACAGCACGAAAGGTTGGTACTGAAAAGTAAGGCATTAAAAAAAAAAATGTGTACATCTCTTGTTCTGTGATGTTAGTGTATAAAGTTTTGTTAACGTAAATCTGCTTTTATTGGACTAAAAATTTGGTCATATTTCCTCTTGTTCTGTGATGTTAGTGGATAAAGTTTTGTTAACTGTGACATAAATCTGCTTTTATTGGACTAAAGACTTGGTCATATTTCACTGATATTGAACAGGGCTGAGCTAATGTTGTTGTTTGTATTAAGATAGTAACAACTTGTATGAAATATCTTAAGGTGTAACTATTGAGAGAAATTTATTTAATAGAAGCTGTTTAGAAATGTTTGTATAAATACAAGTTGATTTACAGTTTGATTCAGTAACCATTTTCGTTTTTATGTACAATTATTCTGAAAGAATTCTAACATGGCTAACAATTGAATATGTAAATTATATTTATAATTCAATAGTGTAGGCTTAACTAATTCAGAGAATGTAGGTGGTATTATTAAAAGTAAGTTTTGAACAACTGAAGAAAACAAATTTAATTGTTTCAGCTATTGTTGGATAGCTACTATTATGAATACATTTTTAATTCAACGACACTGAAACAGTCACTAGTGTAAATAGGAAAGAATTTTTTGATTAATTTTTAATAGATGGTGCTGTTGTTGGTGGATAAATTTTTTACTTAAAACTTAAATATATTTTTAACTGTCTTGTATAATGAAGAGCAAAACCAAAGTTTTTATGAGGGAGTTTGGTACAGTATTTTGTTTAATAGGAAAAAAATAACAGACAATTAACTGCTCTAGAGTGCATGGAATGATAAGGTGTAATATAAATAATTTATTTCTAATAAGAATAACCTCAAATCTTCAATTTTAGAGTAGTGTTAGTAGCCATTGCTATAAATTTTGGAAATGTATTTGAAAATTCCTTGTCTTTGAGAGCTGTAGAAGTGATGGTTTGTAAGTATTTTAATGGTTTTAAGGTTAGTATATTATTATGTAGAGAAGGTGAATATTTGAAATTGGGGAGTGTTTCGATAATTTAATCGTATATTCAATGTGACTTATAATTTTCAGTAATCAAAAGTGAATTTTAATTTAATTAAGCTTAGTTACTCGTATCCTTTTGTTTAATTTAATTTTGCTGTTTGATCCACTGTAAATTTCAATATAGAAAAGTTAAATATTATATGTTATGAGATATTTACGAAGTGCAATATTAAAATAAGACTGTTGAATTGGCCTTTGTTTCATTTAGTTAGATAAATTAAATATTTCTGTTTTTTGGTAGTGGGAAGCAGCTGGTTAATAACAGTGTAAACTCTAAAACTGGAGTATGTGGACATTGTTCATGCATTAATTTGGATTGTAGAAGTAAGATTAGCTCTCTGGAGTCAGTATTGCTTGTTTCTAAAGTATTGAAAGATCTTGGCAAACAGTTTAATTGTCTCTTCATTCTGAAAGCACGTGTGTACTTGGACCATAAAATTAGAAACGATTTATTACTCTTCTAAGTCTAACGAGTTGGTATATTAATTACACTTGTAAAGTTTTATGTTGGTGTAGGGATATGTAGTGGTGACTTATGAAAAATGGTTTTTGTTGGAGTAAGTTCGGTTTCCTGAATGGAGCATAAAATCATATTTGGGTATAAGTTCATAATATCTTTGAGTTATGTCTATTGGAATAACTTTGAGTTGTTGTGACGGAGGAAATTGGTTGATGTGAATATTTTACTTACAGCTGTGGAAGAAATTATTTTTAATTTTAATAATGGAGAGGAAATGTAGTATTAGTGTTTTTATTAATAGTGATAAGTTATTGTTAAAATAAATACATCAATTGTATGCAAGTTGGATGTCAACATAATATTGTTCTTAACGATGTTGATCAAGTAAGGGTGGAGCGATTGTGGAATTTAAGAAATTTAGTGTTAGATAAAGGAAGAATACCATTGTCATCGATACATTTTATGTTAAGTTCTATTGACACTGTTATATTGTCAGATGTCATAGGTAGAAGGTTTTGGATATTGAATGAGTGCTTAATTAACAATACTTTTGATTATGTGAGCAAGTTAAATGGTTGAATTGTACATAGGAAATATTAACTAGTAAAGTGAAAAATCCATTTTAAAATGTTAAGAAAGAAGTATAAGAACAGTGTAAGATAGTTTCTGAGAAGCTGTTTGTAGTTGGAGGTTGTGGAGTGAACCATTTCTATAGTTATGACTACATAGAGTGGATGTTAGTGGAAGAAAATAACAGTGTGATTGTATCGGTTAAAGCTGACTAGGTTAGTGCATTTATATATTTTGTACGTGAAAGCTGCTTGTTGAGATTTTTAGTACTGAAAAGAAAGTTGTTAAACTTTTAATTGTTTTCTTTCTTCCTATAGAACTAAGGTTGGATAAATTGCTGTTGTTAACGGTGACTAGAAGTGAAGGGGGTTTGATCAGACTTGGAAGTATTGTAGTCACCAGAAGTTTGTCAATATATTTGTCTTTCATAAATAAAGATGTAAAGATACAACTGAGTGATGATTTAATACTGTGATAATATATAGAGTCTATATGATTTATATGACTGTTTAGTACTTGATAATCTATGTCTATTTCTAAGGAGAGAATAATTATTTAAACTTAGTTCTATGAGTTTGATTTTTGATTATATGAATTTCAAATGTAAAGGTTAATATATTTGATTTGTATTTTTTGATTTACTGTTAGAGAAGTGTTTTTACAGGATGAAATAAAAAAAAAAAAAAGTTAAGGAATTTAAAAATTGAAAGTAGGATTTTCAAAAAAGAAAATGAGGTGTACTATAGACACAGTTATTTTGGCATCTGTTAGCTAGATTTGTAGTTTGAGTAAATAATGTCTACAGTATATCCAATGGGTGTTTGTTTAATTTTTCTTTATGATCACTATTAGAAAGTTTTTAAATTTTTGGTTTTTATTTGTTTGTTTACTTGCTTGGTTTTCTTATGCTCAACTATGAGCAATGGATTAGTTGATATGGTAGCTAACTTTAAATATTAATGATAATAAACATGGCTAATATTTAACTGATAAGGTTCATAATAATTTGCTATTTACTATTTGATTGCATAAGATGGAGATGTAAAATTTTATAGTGCAGTTGGAGATTGTGATGGAGATTTGTTTGAGATAATAGTGAGCAGTTATAGTATCTGTATAAATATATTCTGTATGTATTATGGGTGAATATATGCTTAGAGTAAGAAGCAATCCCTACTAAGTTAATATAAAATTTCACCAGCAGGAAAGTAACTTAAAGACACAGATTGTACAGTGTATAAAGTATTCAGTATGTAGATGATTTAGTTATCTAATTTTTCTGTTATGGGCTGGTTATTTGTGTTTGACATTTATGGTTTTCAAAGAAACTCTACATATTTCTAAAAAATTAAGAAAATTGATAGTGGAAATTGAGTAAGGTTTGGTGTAAAATATAAATTGTAAAAAGTATTAAAATGTGTTAATGTGTCTGTTGTAATTTGTATTGACTAAGAGACTAAGAGACTAAGAGACTAAGAGACTAAGAGACTAAGAGACTAAGAGACTAAGAGACTAAGAGACTAAGAGACTAAGAGACTAAGAGAC